TCACACACGCACGCACGCGCGAGCGCACGCACGCACGCACAAATACACACAAACATACCATGCGTATCTTTTCACGTCAAGGTCATAGTCGGACATATTTGCAGCCAGCTGCGCGACATTGTAATATTGCAACCCGCTTCTGTTGGAACGGGCGTTGTTAAATTGTGGCACCACTACGCAGCACGGGACGGTGACGTCACCACCTACACACCCCGCCTAGTGCCGTCATTATATACAGCTTCGATAAGGACAGGAATGCAACAGCGCACGTCAATCAACAATACATCCATCAAGAGATTGCACGACTACGTCATGGAAGAGAGTTCTGCCAATCGTATCTACGTCACACGTAATGATGTAGTTTCTACGTAGTTTCAGCCCGAAAAACCCTGGAATCCGGGGCACGGAACCCAGGGCACGGAACCGGGGGCACGGAACCGAGGGCATAGAACCCGGGGCACGGAACCCAGGGCACGGAACCCGGGGCATGGAACCCGAGGCACGGAACCCAGGGTATGGAACCTGGGGCACGGAACCCAGGGCACGGAACCCGAAGCATGGAACCCAAGTACTCGAAACCCGGGCATGGAACGCCGAGGCATGGAACCGGCAGATGGCGGCGCCTCTTTTGGATGTTTTTTTAGATCGCACGCAGTGCCCCTGGTGTCTCGGCTGCATTGCAACAAGATTCATTCAAGAACACTGATTCCAAGTACACACCTAATATTAAACCAGACAACTTGGAGGGGATTGGCCGGTTCGAATTTCAAAAAAATGCGTAGGCGACGCCTTGAGCAAACGACGCTTCGCACACGAAACACAGCAAGTCTCCTGTGTCGTTCGTGTTCATCATTGATATGGACGATGGCCAAACTCGTAATCGTGGGCTTAGGTCGTTGCGCAACTGTCATAATTACAACGCAGGGTGTCGGAGAAACACGCGAGTTATGGTGCGAACATGCACTTCAAGATTATGCATTCATTGAACGCAGTGTTTGCCAACTGCTTGGGAGATGTGGCTGTGGGTTTGGCAGGCGGTTGCTCTCTTGCAAAACATCGTCGGTAGTTATGACATAACACTTCATGCATTGCTTCTGGCAACAGGTGCTCTGGTTTTTTGTCTTCACTTACCGAAACAAAGGTTGCGCATCGAATTTCGTGATAGGAACTTTCCAGACACGCCGAGATTAGGAATTTTGTCGGTAAAATTGCTTGTTGTAAAATTTACATGTACATGCGTCAATATTCTGCACAGCTTTTGCAATGATTTGTAGGCTTTGCACAGTTCGCAATATGACTACATTCATCAAGCTACGCTACACCTCGTTATTTCCCATTTACGTCTGACCAGACGTAAAGCAGCCATGGCTGGTTACTACAAGGATGCACCATGCAACCGACTTCTACCAAGATAAGCCTGACTGTTAACGTCTGCCTGACACTCTCTAAACAGAGTGGTGAAAAGTACCATCAAACACACACATACACACACACACACACACGCAACGCACTCGACGCACGCACAACGACACGACGCACGCACACACACACACACACTCTGGCACATATGATACATGCTACTAGGCATGTGTGTTACATCCGTGACTGCATGTCTTTTCCAGCCTGCTCTAAAGAGTCCACCTATAGCCGACAGGGCTTGCGACGATGTTCTACAATGTTCTAATAGGTTAATTAGGGCTAATATTAGGTAGCCTATTTGTCTTTCAACGCCTAGCAAAGACCGTTATCTATAGAGCTACGGTCAGCCACTTTTAAAAACCAAATAGCGAGGTCCACTGCTCTCGACCAGGTCTGCTTTCATACATGCACCAGCCCCTTACAGTATTCATCTCTTAAGTTATTATTTTATTTATTAATTTATTAATTAATTAAGTTTATTATTATAGGGCAGTTTGACGCTTACGCGAATACGTCCGGTGCATAGGCTGTTGCACCATTGTTTACCCTAGCATTGTGTACAGCCGGATAGAGAAAAGCGACACATGAACACGAGAGTCGCAGTACAGACACATCAGCATAACACACTTATCTACCGCCTTGCTAATAAACTGAACTTAGACAGCTCAACATATACTCATAGACCAGTTATATTGCATGCGTGCATCTGCAAAACTGCTATCAATCGATACAGCTGAGTTAAGTGAGAGAGAAGTCTAGATCCTCAATAGACGATTCCTAATCTAGCTAGCGACGTGCATATTCGCACAGAGTAAGGCGCACACCACAGCATTTTTTCCCTGCCAAAGTGTTATATGATAATACTGACCACTTGAATTTGCATTTTACTACAAAGTATTTCGAGGACACCGGCCGGTGAGTGTGGATGCAGCGCGGCGCGAACGCTATGTCAGCTTGGCAACTGGTAAAAAAACCATATAAAATGGCACAAACGCGGCGGTGCAGGAAAGTATTAAGAATCAGTATGGATTGGCAAGTCATGCTTATATGCTGCACATCACATGCCCATGCAGCCGAGCAAGAGCCAGATCAGAGTGTACACCCAATAAACTCCATGAATATGTATGGTACTGTTGGCTTTGGGTGTAATGTACATATGTGTGTTGTGTGCGTGCCTCGTGTGGCTAAGCACCGCAAGCAAGCATGCAATGCAGGCCATGTATGCGTAGTATGTTTTCTCTATAGTTTACACTTAGCAGCATATACAAGTTGAGATAGTTATAAAACGTGCACACACAAAGCTCACTAAACCAAGAAGACACCAGAAACTAATGTGGTGTAGAAAAGACCTATTGCACAGATGTTGAACTCGAGGGCTAGACGATTCTCGGCAAGCTGATGTAAGAAGTCAACTCCCTCTCACTCGGTGTCGCACAATAATTTGAAAACACATTGCTACTCCACTAGTCTGCTTGGCTTAACCGAATATCGCAGGCCATCTACAGCACCCACAAAGAGACCTGGGCGCGAAGGAGAGGCGAGAGCAGGAAGCGGAGGCGGACGATGAAAAGAAGAAAAGAGTAAGAGGAAGAATAAGAAGAGGGAAGAAAGTTAGTAGCAAGGAAAAGACGAAGAACGAAAAACGAAGATTACATGAAGATCAAGCTACTCTCTAGATAATATGGACGCCATTAATTGTTCGTAAAATGAGTTCCAACAAAAAGCGTGTTTCCTACAAGAATGCCTCCGAAGTACGTATACCATAATCTTTCAGGTGCAAAACGCAGCAAAACCTGAACCCATTATGATTGTCGCTTGATATTGTCGCCATGGCTACCACTACCATTCAGGCGCACACCACCTCACCAGGAAGTGATGCTGTTCTAGTTGCATATATACGTATATTAACATGCGTACAAAACACTGTGTGACGAAATAAATGTGCATTAAGATAACTACTCAAGCTGTCGGGCTTGACATATGATTTCAGCAATTAAACAAAGATTTTACATCCGCTGAACAAAAGTTAGCGCCGCCGCGCGCCCCTACTCCTAGATGGCGCTGCAAAGTCGCTCCGACCATTTCACACATTAAATGGCCCTGGAGTCGCTGTGACCATCACACCATAGATGGCGCTCCGCGAGTCGCGCGACCATTCACACATTAGATGGCACTGCAGGTCGCGACCATCACACATAGATGGCGCTGGAGTCGCCGACCATCACACCTTGATGGCGCTGCAGTCGCCGACCATCACACATAGATGGCGCTGGAGTCGCCGAACATCACATGTAGATGGCGCTACACGACTCTCACAACACGCGACGCCTTCCACCGCCCACCAGATGGAGCTACAGCTGCCGGCGACCGCTCCGGCCGCTAGATGGAGCTGGAGTCGCTGACGGCGATGACGCGTGCGACGCCGGGCAGCACCTGGCCCTGGATCGGGCCGCACGCGATCTGCTCGCCATCGATCGTCATGATGCCCGCCGCCGCCGCCTCGTCCGCCATGTCCGGCTCGAGACGAAACGCCTCGCACGGGATCAGCTCTATGTTGGGGTTCGCCGCGTGCCGGCCAACCTCCATCTCGCGGAACAGCGTCAGCATGGCCTTGCGCGTCACGCCGCGTCGGATCACGGCGAGGTGGATGACGCCGTCCGCGAACGCGCCGTACGGCACCGTGATCGAGTCCGAGCCGAGGTGCGTCTGGTAGACGGGACACGCGAGCACAAAGTCGTCGTCGACGACGACCCAAGATGGCGGCACGGGCGAACCGAGCGGAGCGAGAAGCGGCGTCGACACGGCCGTCGTCGTCGTCGGCGTCGGCGGCGGCGTTGCCGTGGCGATCTCGCCGTTGCGCGGCGGGCGTCCGTTCTTCTCAGCGTGCGGTCGCTGCGGAGTCGGGCCGTCGTCATGGGGACCGTCGCCGCGGCCGCTGTCGCCATGGGGACGGTCGTCGTGGGGACGGTCGTCGTGGGGACGGTCGTCGTGGGGACGGTCGTCATGGGGACGGTCGTCGTGGGGACGGTCGTCATGGGGACGGTCGTCGTGGGGACGGTCGTCGTGGCCGACGTCGCCGTTGGATCGCGTCGTCGTCGCGGCAATGCCGTCGTCATCCGCGTTCTCCATCGCGTCCGTACCGGGGAAGTCGAGCGTTGCCGCGCCGACGGACTGCGAGCGCTGGAACAGCCCGCGGCAGAACCCGGCGAGGTTCGGAACGGTCCTCGACGATGGAACGCTGCCGTTCACATGTTCGTAGGTGCCGCCACCGCAGCCGACTGACGCGCTGCGAGTGAGGTCGTCTGTCGTCGAGGCGTCGCGGATGACGGCGGGGGGAAGGTGCTTCGTGTAGTTCCTCGCTGGCAGGTAGCTCACTCGACCCCGATACGTGCGCAGCGCTGCGTGGGAGAACAACGGGAGAAGCGGTGAGCGTTAACACCAGAGCGCGCCACCGAGGCGGCTCGTAGAGTCATTACTTCAATGAGACTAAACGGAAGAAATTAAATGTGTGCAAAAATAATTTCAACTGCACAATCGTTTCTAACTAGGAAATGAACACGGCTGTTATCGTAGGAAATCATGGTAAGTCAACAAGTCAGTTTGCTTGTGTAGCTTGTAGAAGTGGGACAATACGGGTAGCTGACGATACGATCCATTTCATGATATCACACTACACTATATCACTCACATAACTCAGCACTAACGACACTAGATTACTCATGTAACTCAGCACTAACGACACTAGTAGGGACAGTGATTTTCCGCGATCGCGGAAAACGGACGGAAAACACGGAAACAGTCATTGGAAACGGAAAAGATGTTTACAAACGGAAAAACGCAGAAAACGTAATTTGAACATATTACAACATAGAAATTTCAATAAAATCACACAAAAACAGTCGACAATAGCATTGGTAATGATATGGTTTACATTCAGACAAGTTTCAGAGCGAAATGATTTACAATTACAACTTTTGGTAGCCCTGTGTTTCGGTTTCAAAGGTTGTACCAAATACCTTTTTTTTTCCATGCAAATATATGTAAGCGGAATATAGCATTTTTGGTGTGTAAAATCTCTATGGCAAAACGGAATTTCCATTTTTTCTTTACTTTGAAACGGAATTCATGATTTTCCCAAACGGAAAAGGCAATTTTTTTAAACGGAAAATAACTGTCCCTACACTAGCTCCTTCGCGTAACTACATGCAGACTGCTGCGAGCACGTACTGACGACGCGAGCAAGGAAGCCAAGGAAGAAGCGCATCGGTCCGAACGGGCGCCACCGCTCGCTCTCGATGTCCACGTCCGAGACGAGGCCCCACGCGACGGCAAGGAACGAGTAGAGCCGCCGACCGTCGGCCAGGTCCAACGCCACGAGGTCCATCTGCGTCGGACTGCCCTGCGCGACGACCAACGCCGAGTGGAATGCAAAGTTCTCTTTGTAGGGAAGCCTGCAAGAGAGGAGAGCGAGTGAGTAACTGAGGAGAGCGCGTGAGTGACCGAGAAGAGCGCGTGAGTGACCGAGGAGAGCGCGTGATTGATCAAGGAGAACGCACGAGTGACCGAGGAGAGCGCGTGATTGATCAAGGAGAACGCACGAGTGACCGAGGAGAGCGCATGAGTTACCGTGGGTCACTGATGGTGGCGAGAGATCAAGAAAGAATGAGTGAGTGAGCGACTGAGGGTCACTGACGGTGGCTAGAGGTGAAGATATAACGAGTGAGTGAGTGACCGAGGGTGACTGACGCTGGCTAGAGGTCAAGATAGAACTAGAGTGAGTGACCGAGGGTCACTGATGGTGAATAGAGGTCAAGAAAGAATGAAAGTGAGTGACCGAGGGTCACTGACGGTGGCTAGAGGTGAAGATGGAACGAGAATGAGTGAGTGACCGAGGGTCACTCATGGTGGATAGAGGTCAAGATAGAACGAGAGTGCGTGAGTGACTGAAGGTCACTGACGGTGGCTAGAGGTCAACAAAGAACGAGAGCGTGTGAGTAACTAAGGGTCACTGATGGTGGCTAGAGGTCAAGATAGAACCATAAGGCGAGTGCATAAGTAACTTTGGGTCAGTAACGGTGACTGGTGACCAAGAAAGAACCATGAGGAGATCATGCGAGTAACCACGGTACCAGGAGGATCACTAGCGGTACCCGGGAAAATGCGCGGAAGCAAATAGAGTGCGTGTGTAACAAGGGTCAGTGATGGTGGCCAGAGGTCAACAGAAACTGCGAGGATAGTGCACGAGTACCTGGGAATCGGTAACACTGCCTTGAAGTAGTTAGTGGTGACAGGCGCGCATGGTTTTTTTGATTTATGGCAATCACTCCCGAGTTTATTGATGCCTTGTTTGCTAACCCGACTGCGCAAACATTCTGCGCGCCTGATATTACTATTGAAATTGAAACAAGACATATATGCAGGGCGACACTTTATCATGAGCTATTGCTATGTCATACTTAATTGCAATCATGCTATCATTACTTGTTCCTCATACTACTTGTTCCTAGGAAAATACTCAGTCTTACTCAGTCTTAGGAAAATACAGTACAGGGGATCATTGTTTTATCAAGGTGGCGTATCAACATGCATTTTGGCCCATAGTCCTGTTATTACGCACTAATATCTTACTCCTCACTGCCTCTGCACTGTACGCTCCAGTAACCAAGACGCATGACTACGGCATTGGCACACGAATGCAAGCGATGATGGCGACCGAATGAAATTGTAATAATCACCCTCCTCATCAATTCCCCGACTCATCTAGTCAGCCTGCATACATCCATCAGTGGGATTCTAGGGCATACCTGTTTGCGGTAGATGCTCGGCATGGCATAGCACCCACAGCAAACATGTACCAGCAGTAGCTTATGAAGGAAGCAGTAGTAGTAGCAGCAGCCACAGCAAATGTGTAACAGCAGCAGCTTATGAAGGAAGCATTAGCAGCAGCAGCAGCAGCAGCAGCAGCAGCAGCAGCACCCACAGCAAACATGTACCAGCAGCAACTTATGAAGGAAGCAGTAGTAGTAGCAGCAGCAGCAGCAGCAGCAGCAGCAGCAGCAGCAGCACCCACAGCAAACATGTACCAGCAGCAGCTTATGAAGGATGCAGCAGTAGCAGCAGCAGCAGCAGGCACAGCAAACATGTACCAGCAGTAGCTTATGAAGGAAGCAGTAGTAGTAGCAGCAACAGCAGCAGCAGCAGCAGCAGCAGCAGCAGCACCCACAGCAAACATGTACCAGCAGCAGCTTATGAAGGAAGCAGTAGTAGCAGCAGCAGCAGCACCCACAGCAAACATGTACCAGCAGCAGCTTATAAAGGAAGCAGTAGTAGTAGCAGCAACAGCAACAGCAGCAGCAGCAGCAGCAGCAGCAGCAGCACCCACAGCAAACATGTACCAGCAGCAGCTTATGAAGGAAGCATTAGTAGCAGCAGCAGCAATGGCAGAAGCAGCAGAAACAGCAGCAGCAGCAGCAGTAGCAACAACAACAACAACAGCAGCAGCAGCAGCAACAACAACAACAACAACAATAACAACAGCAGCAGCAGCAGCAGCAACAACGACATCAGCAACAATATCAACAACAATGGCAGTAGCAGCAGCAGTAACACACTAACAACAACAACAACAACAACAACAACAACAACAACAACAACAACAACAACTTACCTTGCCGCCCAGTTGATGGATGCAGCAAGGGCGTTACCGGATCCACCGGGCAACACTCCGACAGGCATCAGTATGGCTTCTTGCCAGTCTGGTCGCTGCATCAAACCATTGTAAACCTGGGAAGCAAGCAAGTTAGTTCATGCAACAGCAACACCACGCACAGGGCATACATTAGTTAGTAAAACGTACAGAAGAACACACTGAATCCTTAAACACCTGCCGATAAACGGTTAACATGTTAGACGTGCTACGTGTTGAACATGTTTTAACATCGCATGTTTCACTGAAGCATTTTTTAAATCGTGATTCTATTCTGTTATAGCACTAAAGCTATCAAAAGGACCAAAGCATCAAATAAGACACAAAAGCAATAATGATTTCTTGCATTGAAATTCGTATTAGCCCTATGCTGAATGGCACATTTCAACTGTCGGCAACTGCTTCGGCTGTTTCCAGCAATAGCTACACTGCTTCTAGGTCATTGGGGTCATATTTAGCTTAAACCCAAAGCAGTGACAACAACACTTCTTGCAAGAAATATTATCAATTAAACTATCCTTGACCGAAGACGAAGTCTTTGATATGTTTAAATGACAGAAAAATGTTTTTTATTTCGCTTAAGGGTCATTACAGGAAAAAAATTGTCTAGATTGCCAAGGGTGGATAGGGGTCATTGTAGGTCAGAGCAAATCACCGTATGTCATTATAAGTCATCTACAGTCACTGCAGGGTATCATAAGTCATTTTAGGTCATCTCTGGTCATTTTAGGTCAACTACAATCACTGCAGGCTACCTTCGGTCGACGCCGGCCGCCCAGGATACCTGACACCTATCCACACTGCCAACACGCAAACCACGTCGCGTGTGAGAGCAGATGGTAGATGGCGCTGTCGTAGCACGCGCGCTGGCCACTCACCTCATAGACGATGCCGTCGCCGGCGCAGACGACGATCGCCTCCCACGCCGTCAGATCGAGCGTCCGCACGTATTCCGTCGCGTGTCCCGAGTACTCTGCACACATGACACATCACAATGATCACGTGTACACTTCCGTCCGCCAAAGCGGGGGACACACCATGCGAATATGCGAATTTATTCGTAATGTCCGCAGCAATTGTAAAATCGAAGCGAAATTCGCATGGTGTGTCCGCTGAAGCGCGGGCGAATTTCGCTGCGAATTTCATCTGCACTGAAATTCGTGGCGATGAAACATGTTTGATATTTTCGCTGCGGACGTGCGAATATATTCGCATGGTGTGTCCCACGCTTAAATGACCCATCCATCTGAACAAGATTTCTATAAGATGGGTTCACAGTACCGACTTTTTAAGCTGGGTTTACACTGCCAACTTTGAGTTGGCGAATTGACGAATAGTACCAACTTCGCAACTGACAATCGGCAGTGTAAACGCGAGAATCGCGCGAGCAACTGGTCGATAGCAACTAGTTGGGAGATTAGAACATGTTCTATTTTCGCCAACTCGAAGAACTTTGCCGAATTGCGACATTGCTTCAACTCGCCAATTCGCCAACATAAAGTCGGTAATGTAATAATTTAAAGTCATAAAGTCAGTAATGTAAATCCAGCTTAACTCTACGAGACCCGCACCTGAATGTTGTTGCTAGGTCGGTTAAACACGAGCAGTTTGTATGTGGTTTTACATGCGTGCGCATTAAAATGTCAACTTTGCAACACTTTGTTAGTAAGCATTGTCTTTAGAAGGTCCTATCGGACTGCTGATTTGCTAGAGCTGCCTGTCAGTTACACGGCAGGCAGATAAGTTACGTGAAAAAAAATTAATAATTAATAAATAATTATATTAAAAATATTATATATAATAATTATATTACATGCCGGGTACATTACTGATTACGTCAATAAGCTTATAATGAACACTATAAGCTCTGATCATTATGTGCAGGGATTTACTCACCATCTCACTAGATGGCAAAGATGGCATAATAAAGAGAATCGTGTAATGCTACGCTACAAACGTGGAAAAGAATAGAGAGTCATGTTTCAAGACATTTATTCCATAACTGATCGGATCTTTGTACCCCCCCCCCCCAATCCCTGTGATTAGTCTTACGTAGCTGTGAAACAAAACGCATACAGTACACACAGTTATTATTACACGTCATTCTTGTATACATATATAAAATACATGACCGTTTCTAGGAACTACCCTGACCACTGCTAGAATGGCTTGGATCGACAGCCAAGATGTTATGCTATGCTATGCTACTCCGCGTTGCCTACAAGTTCCTATGACGACGGGGTCATATCCGTGGGAAACACACTATCGATTACCCTCCCATATATACCAGTACTTCTGACAAAGCATACATTTTTGATATTTTGCTGAAGCATTATTGCAAATGTTCTCGTGAGATGCGGGTTTTTACGCGCATAGACGTCAAAACATTTAAAAAGCAAGCAATCTATGAGAACTGTCTTGTGACGTAGTTACGACATTCTTGGCACATTGGCTATTGATCTTTGCTAAAATTTACAAACTATACTTTGAATACTACAGGGGAAAAATTACTTTTTTTTCACGGGAGCTCTTTTTCAAGTCTGTGGAAAAAATAGCTCTCGTCAAAAATTTTACGGGAGCTATTTTGAGCCTCACGGGAGCGATTTTGGAGGTTTGAAGAGCTCATCGCTCATCGCTCCCGTATATTTTTTACCCTGGAATACTACAATCCCAGACCGCTGGAAACCATCTTCACATCTGACGGGCAAAAGCTAGAAATGAAATGCAGAGGAAATCTCTATGTAACCACACTGGGTCTTAAATCTAAAATAACTGTCAGATCGTAACAAATTAATGAGCGTGGTAGTTAGCCTAGTTAACACACTAACACGTTTTCACATGCAGAGTTCGATATATAAGCAATAATACCACACCAGGTATGGCTTGGCGTCTCACTACGGTTAATCAATAAGTATTATATATATATATATA